TAAGGTGAGCACTGGCTTAATCTTGCGTTTTGGTTGATACTGTTGCTTGTCTAGAGGGTTGGGCTCTTTTCTGTAGTCGATAAGGAATTTGATCGGATAGTTCACTTATGTGTTTTCGACTTTTTAGACTCTGAAGAAGGCGAGTTTGCCGAAACGTCAGTCTGTTTATTGTGGAATAAATATCTGTACCAATCTTAAACGCTGCTGAAGAAATCAATCACTAGATTTAACCTAGAAAGTAGCTGTAGACTTTTTCAGTAAGAGAAGTGTTGGAACTTTCCAATTCAGTTATATGTTAGAATGAATTATTCTCTTTCAAGCAATACCTATATAAGGTCATTTGCTTGGCTAATAACTTTTATACTTGCTGAAATGCAAAGTTAGTCACTTCGACAAATTATAATCTTCGAGCAGTATCTGCGCAGGTAACATTTGAAACCATCCAAAATACCACTGCTGCATTGGGTGATGGGACATTTACCAAAACCACATGGCTTGCTGGCCTCAACACTCAAAGTCAGGAGTTCTGGTCATAAGCTTTTTCGAGAGCAAAGATATGTGTTGTTTATTGCTTGCATGTAAATGCAAGTTTTTAGCCACCATCTGATAGAGCTCTTTACGCTCTATCCACACATATGGTTTACGCCAGTTTTCATCTATCTGCGTAAAAAATAGATTTAAACATGACTTTTCGGTTTTTACTGCTCCAAAGAAACGCAATTTTTCCAATCTTTTGCTGCATGAGCAAGCATGGATTTGGGGAGGTCTGAAGAGAATTACGGTTTTGTTTTTATTTTTTTAAAAGGTCGTCGGGCGCATGAATTTCTCAAGTTTTCGGTACCAAAAAATTTGAAAATCATGCGATCAGCCAGCTAATCTGATAAATTATTACATTATGAACTTTTTTTGGTGCAAGATTTATGTTACAACCTAGTATTGTGCCTTGAAGGAGTTATTGAGCAATTTTCCAGCGAAATACGTAGTTCTAGCTATTTGAGTTTCGTTAAATGTGATAAATAACACCGAAAATTAACTTTTGCCCAAAGAAACATACACTGCAGTTTCTTCGCCTTGCGATTCTTCAGACATGACAGTTACGAGTATATCGCACGCCGGTCATCCTGCATTTCGTTTTTGATTGTTAGTCGAGATCGTCGTACAACATAAATGCGAGATCAACGGCTTGTTCGGCTCGCAATGGAATCGTAACATTGTGTGTTCTTCTTGTGCCGTACAGGTTGGTTGGTGGTCCTTTATTAGTCAGTATCAACGGCCTTACGTTTCAACGCTTTCGTCTTCGTCAGAGGCCTAGAATGGTTCTGAGTTTCATCAGTGAGTCCAGCCCACCAAACGTCTCCCCTAGTTCTGCCAGTTTTCGGCCTTCACCCAATCTAGTTGCCACAAAAATTGCGAAAGCAATGACATACCAGGGAACCACCGTCTCGTCATCAGATGTCCGTACCGGAATGAGACGGTCGCGACGGACGAATAAGTTACACTGTATTGGATGGTAAATGATCTACAGTCATAACTCGCATAATGATATAAACGGGAGAAAGTCAGCGGTTATTGATAGACATTCGTTTTTGTTGTTCATTTCTGGATTCTTCGCAGAAATTTAGAAAGCTTCCATAGCTTTCCTAGCTGAGATCTCCTCTATAAATGTTAGAATCGTGACTTTAATGTCAAAATCTTCATCATCATGCGCCTCGCGCCTATGTCTGCCAAGCGTTGAAGCCATGTTCTTTCGCCTTTTATCTGCAAGATGTTCTTTTACGCGAATGCTAAGCATTCTTCCTGTTTCCCCAATGTAACGTGCGTTGCAGCTCAAACACTCGAGTTGATACACAACTCCCATCTTTGCGCAGTCTCCCAGTCTCCCGTGCGGACAAACAACGCATTGCTCAGATATACAGTAACGATCGTAGAGCCGATTTCGCACCAGCTGTTTTTTGATGTTGTCGTTTGGGATGTTGACTAACATGACATCACCTTGCAGCTGTGCACGAATTATGCATTTTTGAATGGCCGTGCTAATCTTATCGGAGATGAATGGCAGGCAAAGTGGAAGTCTGTTTTCAGCTCGGTGCTCACCACTTTTTAGATGTCGAATATGTGGTGAAGGATGGTAGCCATTGCTGCAAGCAATTTGGGTAGCCAGCTTTTGTGATTCGCGCCGCTCATCCTCTCCGCTGCACGTCTGCATTGCCGTTCTGATCATATTCCTAAGGACAGCACGTTTGACAGATGCAGGGTGTGCGGACTTGACGTTAATGAGGATGTTTTTGGAGCTTTTCTTACGGTACCACTTGGTGCTTACAATGCCATCGGTCAACTTTATCTGCGCGTTCAGATAAGGCAGCCATCCGTCGTGTGGTGTCTCACGCGTGAACCTGATGTATCGTGATTGCTGATTCAAAATCTCGTAACACTTGTCCATTTCAGACTGTGTGGATGTCACAACACAGCAATCATCGATGTAACGACAATACAGCAGTGGCATTCGCGCTCAAACTTATTATTCCCAGATACGTGGATTAGCTTTGGGCCAAAGACTAGCACCAGTTCTTGCCATATGCTTTATGAGTAAGATCGAAGAGCCGGTGTTAGCGCGAATGCCACTGCTGTATTGTCGTTACATCGATGATTGCTGTGTTGTGACATCCACACAGTCTGAAATGGACAAGTGTTACGAGATTTTGAATCAGCAATCACGATACATCAGGTTCACGCGTGAGACATTACACGACGGATGGCTGCCTTATCTGAACGCGCAGATAAAGTTGACCGATGGCATTGTAAGCACCAAGTGGTACCGCAAGAAAAGCTCCAAAAACATCCTCATTAACGTCAAGTCCGCACACCCTGCATCTGTCAAACGTGCTGTCCTTAGGAATATGATCAGAACGGCAATGCAGACGTGCAGCGGAGAGGATGAACGGCGCGAATCACAAAAGCTGGCTACCCAAATTGCTTGCAGCAATGGCTACCATCCTTCACCACATATTCGACATCTAAAAAGTGGTGAGCACCGAGCTGAAAACAGACTTCCACTTTGCCTGCCATTCATCTCCGATAAGATCAGCACGGCCATTCAAAAATGCATAATTCGTGCACAGCTGCAAGGTGATGTCATGTTAGTCAACATCCCAAACGACAACATCAAAAAACAGCTGGTGCGAAATCGGCTCTACGATCGTTACTGTATATCTGAGCAATGCGTTGTTTGTCCGCACGGGAGACTGGGAGACTGCGCAGAGATGGGAGTTGTGTATCAACTCGAGTGTTTGAGCTGCAACGCACGTTACATTGGGGAAACAGAAAGAATGCTTAGCATTCGCGTAAAAGAACATCTTGCAGATAAAAGGCGAAAGAACATGGCTTCAACGCTTGGCAGACATAGGCGCGAGGCGCATGATGATGAAGATTTTGACATTAAAGTCACGATTCTAACATTTATAGAGGAGGTCTCAGCTAGGAAAGCTATGGAAGCTTTCTAAATTTCTGCGAAGAATCCAGAAATGAACAACAAAAACGAATGTCTATCAATAACCGCTGACTTTCTCCCGTTTATATCATTATGCGAGTTATGACTGTAGATCATTTACCATCCAATACAGTATAACTCATTCGTCCGTCGCGACCGTCTCATTCCGGTACGGACATCTGATGACGAAACGGTGGTTCCCTGGTATGTCATTGCTTTCGCAATTTTTGTGGCAACTAGATTGGGTGAAGGCCGAAAACTGGCAGAACTAGGGGAGACGTTTGGTGGGCTGGACTCACTGATGAAACTCAGAACCATTCTAGGCCTCTAACAAAGACGAAAGCGTTGAAACGTAAGGCTGTTGATACTGACTAATAAAGGACCACCTACCAACCTGTACGGCACAAGAAGAACACACAATACATACGAAGAATGCCCAGGTTCAAAACAGACGGAACTTGGAAACTGTGGAATCGTAACAGTTGCCTTCTTGGGAGAACCACGAGCGAAATTGCGTGATGTATGCCCGGTCCTTGGTGACGCAAACAGGGGATTGGTCACTTCCGAGCACGTAATGATCAGAATGAAGAACACATGACAAAAGTTCTGGAAAAAGGCATTCACTACTCATGCGCATCTGTTTTCGACGAAAGTGCGCCGAATCTAACGAAAATGGAGAAAATTGTAAAAAGAAACTATATACAAAATCAAGATATTTGCTCATTGCAGCTTAAACAAGAAGAAATCACACAGACAACAACAGCACTAAGAAAAGATTTCGAAGAAGGTTAGCGTAAGGCAGATAGTAATACCAATGCGCGACTTTCGCATTTCACGTATAGGGCTTATCAAACTGAGTGTCGTTTGCACCAGCATCTCCATCTTCGCGCTGAGTTCTGCGTCTCTTCTGCGGTACACGCACCCTAACCACTTCCAATCGACTGATGCTCCGCCTTTCCCACGCTCGCCCTGGGAAAGTGCTCAGAGAGCAGCCCTGCGGAAAAGACGCAGAGTTCAGCGCGAAGATGTAAAAGCCTGTGCAATCGACACTCAATTTGATAAGCCTTATATTTGCTTCGTTACGCTTGATTTGAGTGGTTAGAAATACATTACCTACTGGGACGAAATCCTAGGCCAGTGTGCACGAAAACAGCTTCAGCTAAGAAAGGCATTTGACTGTGCCCAGCTCAAGAGTATGCGTGCAATTAGGGTTAGTTCTTGAAATCGTGACGACCACTGCGGTCTTTGCATGAGCATAAAACACCCATACAAACAGGCATCACCTCAACTCACCTCAGTCACTTCCAGTGTCTTAATAGTAACACATGTAAGCGGAAAAACCATTTGAGGATAGAAACCAAGAAATGGAAGTGCGTGCGCGTCGCGCGCAGTCGCGCCATCGTCACGAATTTTTCAAATGCCCTATACCTTCGCCGCAGAGACTTGGTGCACACGGTTTGAATGTCAAAATTCCCAAACCGCAAAAAACTCAAAGTGAATACAGCATTTTCAGAAATCCGGCCGGAAAACCATTTGGAGAAATCGAAAAAGAGCTAACCGAAGGAGGTTTGCTTTATCAGTTGCTTTATCAAGTTTGCTTTACATTCTCAAACTTTCTTGAAAAGACCGAAAATGAAATCTGAAAAAGCTGATGCTTAATGCAAATAAAATTGAATGCTTCAGCCTTTTTGGTAAACTTTGAAATAATCAGGCGTGCATCCACATACCTGCCTGGGAGAGGAGTGAACCTGTGAAGCTGACTTTCAAATCCGCTGTTCATGAGTTTTGCGATTTTGCGGTCGCATATCCTTCTTTATTCAGCCCTACCTACTATCCTTCTTTGAAAACATGTTTTCATGACTAGTAAAGCTGCAAGTTTTAGTTCTATGTATGGTCTGGTCTTCTGCTGGTTCAAAGGTGTTTTTTCTTCGTTGTCACTTATTCACAAGTTGTTGATAAAAACGCAAGAAAAAATATATATTGACGTATAAACCGACAGCGTTAATGAGAATTCGCTCGACTATTCATAAATCGTGGCATTACTGTTCTTCTAGTTGTTCTCCTTTATGGTTGCAACCCATTGAATTTATCATCTATTGAAATGAGCACTAGCTTGATCTTACGTTTTGGTTGATGACGTTCTCTCCTAGAGGGTTGGGCTTTTCTCTAGAGTCGGCAAAGTGTTGGTCGGATAGGTCATTTATATCAAGTCGGCTTTTCAGACTTTAAAGAAGGCGAGTTTGTTGAAACGCCAGTCTATAAAGTCCTGTTTTAATCTTGGTTTACTGCTGAACGAAAACACCTAGAAGAGCTGCAGCGTTAAGTTTTTTTTTTCGACAGGAAAAAATGAAATTTAGAATGATCTCATGATGAACTCGCCATTGTCGAACTGGTTCATCGAAGAATTCACTACTCTATGTTTTCCCTTTTTCGCATCTTCAAAATTATCGCACTCCTTCCTCCTCACCTTAATTGATGTTGATCTCTTGTAAAAATAATAACTTCGAAAGGCTGCCGAACTTTTGGAACTCCCAGAAAATCATACAAGCCATAAAAAAATCTTACCTGTACAATAGTACACTGCATACATTATGCTTACGCGGAAAGCACTGATGCTAAATAGCCATTCGGAACTAGATTTATATTGGTGAGCGTAGCGTCAGATGTTTCTCGAACCTAACATCCGTTTCTGAAACGTTTGCGAAGAAGTTGAATGGCAAGCGAAGCGTGAAAACGCTTTTTGCAAGGACTCGAACTTGCAGCCTCCTGTGCAAAACAACTATCACACCCGCCCCACCCTGACCGTTACAATCGGGGTCGAGCAAGAGGTGTGGCAAACAGCCGCCGGATACGACCCCTCCCCCTCCACCTCCGCACCCGCTGAGTACCCCAGTACGCCCTCAACAATATCGTCTATCCACTGTGCGCATAATATGAGACCCTATCAAGCAACTTGAGTAGCAAATTCGCAATTAGCACGTCAAAAACCATTTGAATCAAATTTTCAGCAACTTCTGAGGTTTCCGAATATGGGGCCATTCAAGTGAAATTGCCATTTTCAAAAATGTAGATCATTGCAACGGTTGTAAAGGTAAGTTAGCTACCGCTCTTTGCAATCAATATAAACCGGTACTCCATCTTTGCCCACATGACAAATTTCAATTTCACTCTAATTACCCGTCAAGTTATGGAATTGAAAGCCAGTCAGATTCTCGTTCTCTTATTTATCGCTTTCAAAGGTTGTGCTTTCAGCAACTGTTGTTCAAATGAGAAGAAAAGTCTGGCTCAAATTACTGTTGTGAATGCTACAAAATTTGGGCTATCGAACATGTATACACCATCGCTAAACATGTTTTGAAGATAAGTTAGTGGGTTTGGCAAAACCCCAAAAAGCTTGGCTGCTACACTATTCATTCGTTTTCCATCTACCGCTAAAGCATCTGCTCTACACGATAGAAGTTTTATCCGAAATCGCTATTTTTAAAGAAAGGTGTAGTTTTTCCAGTCAATGTTAATGGCAAATTCTGGGGTACGGTAGTATGCTGAATCTGCGCAGCTAGGTGTATAGGCGACTCCTATGCGTATAGCGGACGTGGCCCTACAGGCATTTGAACACGTTGACAAACTTGTCGAATCTCTATTCCAAAGCATTTGTTTCCATACTTTTTAGCTTAAAACTTCCACGCGCATGCGTTGGCAAACGTCGGTAATGCTCCGACTGCTATACCTTGGGGAATCGACCATTGAAATGAACAAGATGTTGCAGGCCCCTAATTTCATAAATAGCGGTTATTTGAAGTGGGATTTCTCATATGGCCAAAGAAGGGGTAGTGCTTTGTATCGAGTGAAAGGAGCCAACTCACCCTCAAAACAAAGTTGATCGTGCTCGATAATGGCCATTTCGCACCCCATATTTGGAAAACTCAGAATTGGCTAAAGCTTGAACCACAGGGTCTATATGAAATGCTCAAAAGGCCGGGCATACATCACGCGATTTCATCGCCTCCCTTGTTTCCGGGAAAGATAACTGCTACAAATCCATTGCATGCAGTTCACTTTGCCACTCGCTTGTGATAGTTATTCGGCGCGACTAATCGCTGATTTTTTCCCCGGGCATACTCCCTTCAATGAAATCGTCGCGATTTGCCCGAATCTCAGCGATATCGGGTCGCTGACTTCAAGCGAGCAACGCGACCTAATCGCTGAGATTGGACTTCTTTTCTGAACGTTTTTATGTTCGTTTCTTAGCTTTTTGGGCTGTTTTCTTGCTTACTATTTCAAAAATACTTCTATTTTGCCAGAGTGCGTTGCTTCTCCGTAAATTGATCCTCTTGTACCAGTTTTGGCGCTATCCGTAACCCAAAATTCAAAGCCGTGATTTTCGCTTAGACTCGGTCTAGGGGGGTTATTCGACCCGCTGGTATCATGGCTATTTTGTGCGTTAGCGCCATTTTCTGGAGCTACCGTGGGTATACCGTAGAGCGTCAAAATCGCGGATTCGCTCTAAATTTGTTGTTGGGAGAGGAGGTTCTTTGGCGCACTGAACATGATTATCATGATGATTACTCAGGAAAGCGACATTTTCTGCAGTCTGTGTCAACCACAACAACAATTAGCATTTTTTCTTGGGTCACTAGATACAAAAAGCTTGGTAAAGACTTCTTCAGCGAACTGAATACAATATTCGTGATGAGAACATCAAATAACTTCACTGCGCAAATGTTCAGGCAAATCTAAGACTTTGACACCCACCATATACTCACCGCAACTGTATGTCCAAAATTCTATTATATATGAGCATGATTTTTGTGCTCAGCATGTCTGTCCCCTTACAAAGCACAATGATTTTAATATTTGGCATTAATGGGTCGAAGAACCCCCTTGAACCAGATTTGAGCGAAATCCGGAAAAAGTGAGGCCCAGATACTGAAATAGAATAAATTTAATGTGATCCTGAGGTTGGAATTGATACTGGACTACAAAATGAAAATACAAGTGAAAATATCAAGTCGCGCAGAAGTATGCCCATGAACAATTAACTGGCGATTTAGTCGCCGCGATCGTCGCTACTTGCAGCAAATCGCGACGACCAGGAATCGCGACGATGAAATCGCGTGAAGTATGCCCGGCCCTTAATACGGAAATGATACCCACTATGCTTGACAAGGCTTTCTTACGCTTACTGTACGTATAAAATGATAGATCAATACCTTATGAGCCGCTAATTGCTAGGACTTGTCTGGCTTTTCTACAGCAGGGCAAGTTATCGCTAAGATCAACACGTCGATTACGATCTCCTTCCCTTTCTTCTCAGACAGTCGAAGGGACCTCCGACGGGCAAATGGTTCACCGTGACGTCACTGTGACGTCTCGAGCAGGAGAATGGAAGCCCTCTCCGGGACGCGCAAATCTCTGCTTCGGAGGTGCGCCAGATTTGGGAGAGCCCCGGAGCACCAAAATGAGTGAAACGGGAGGGTTCCGGAGCGCTCCAGAGCGCGAAGTGGCAGACCTGCGCCATTTGCCCGCCGGAGGTATCCCTTCGACTGTCTGAGTGAGTCATCTATATGCCCCCATCCTCCAAATGTGGCGAGCCTACCCCACTCTTGACCCTGATCACGACTACTGCAATGCTCGTAACAACAAAAATGATGTAATAACATGAATTAACTTGTAAGAAAAGCAAATTTGCCGCAGATAAGGAGTGCAGTTTCGAGATCAACATTCATCACTAATGTGAAAACCTGCAGCTCAACAACCTGCAGAAGAAACAGAAGTCTAGGACATTCGAATTCAAGGCATACCATATCAAAGGCCTCCTCTCCCAAGCGGGGATGTACGCGCTCGCTAGTCTTAGTCATAAAGTATAGGTATTAGAAAGAGAGAGAAAGCTTCGTTGACAATGTTCTTTCATAGGTCCAAGAGGCAGCGCGAACCTGTGCAACAGTCAACGAGTTCAAAGGAAAGAAAATATTTCGTAAGCGATGAAAACTACTCATAAATTCGAACATCCTCAACATGTTGGTGGCAAAAATTGATCACTGCTTAGGCGAGATGTTCACTCTTGGAAGGCATGAAAAATTCCAAAGTTTATAAAGGAGGAGGGATTTTGCGGTCGCCCACATGTCACTCAAGAGCGGTGTGTGTAGCTCATTATACCGCTCAGTGTGGTAATTTCGCATCGGTAATGCTTGGATTTGTGAATGTATCACCGGTCTGTACTGCAAGCTGAGAAAATTGACAAGTTTGCGGCAAATAGGATGTTTTTTACTTTCCATGCGTGCTGTTATACCGTTATACTGTTATATGCTATTGTACCCCAAATCTTTTCGGCATTTTTTATTAGGGTGAACGGAAAATAGCGAGACGTTTGGAAAATGAACGCAGATTTATCAAAAAAAGATTTGATAGGATGCTTAATTTTGACATTTATTAAACCTTATCATTCTCGTTCAGAAATCTATATAAGTTCATTTACTTGCTTATTAATTTCGATGCCGAACGATGCCATTCGATAGAACAAAGCGAGTTGTACAAAATGGCATGTGCCAAAATCTGAGTGGTACTCAATGCACAAAAATTCTAAACCTTTATCTTTGTTCAGAAACATCTACATATCTCCCACTTGCTCAAAAAAAAATTCCACATTAAACATACACACACGGCTTATCAAATGAAGTGTTGCTTGCCCCGGCATCTCCACCCCCGCGCTGGACTCTGCGTCTTTTCCGCGGAACATGCTCTCTAATCACTTCCAATCAATTGCGGCTCCGCCTTTTCTACGCTCGCCTTGGGAAAGTACTCATAGAGCATGTTCCGCGGAAGAGACGAGAGTCGTGGAGATGCTGGAGCAAGCCACATTTCATTTGATAAGCCTTGTATATACCGTTGCTGCTTTTTTTACTCACAAGGAAACGATACTTGATGTCCGTGACCTCTTGAGATGAGATACACACTAAACTACACCATTACACTCATCTTGGAGCGCTGATTTCGAATCTGACTTCCGTTTTTGCTAATCGTTTCTCTGAGAAAAGTTATGAAGGATTTTCGCGCCAAAGGAGATGTGGTCGGAGTGCCAAAACGGCCACTAAGACGTGTGTAGTGGCTAGTGCGATAGCCTTGCAAGTTAATTCAGGTTTAGGTTCGAGTCCTTTTGTGTTTTTCAGTTTTGCATTGCCTCAATCAAGCTTTTTCTGTAAAGTTAAGCATCCGACCACGACCGTATTTCTCTTGGCCGACCATTGACGCGAAAATTCTTTATAACTTCTTCTAGAGAAACGCTTAGCAGAAACGGAAGTCAGATTCAAAATCAGCGTTCCAAGACGAGTGTGATGGTTAACGTTTCATCTTAAAAGGCCACGGACACCAAGCATCGTTCCTTTGTCAGCTAGAAATCAAGAAAATCGAAATTTTTTGTCTATACAAAGACAAAGCTATGCTGTTTTCATGCGGGTAATTGTTTACTACAGGCCTTTGTATAACGAAGTATAACCATAAACTTTCAGCCTCACACAGTGTTCTCTAGAATTATCAAATTTAGCTCTACTCACTCAGGTTTTCCATGCTAAAAATCAACATTTGTCAAAAACTTGAGCTTGCTAAAAACTGAAAATTTACGGTTACACTTCTAAAAACTTGTACTAAACAATCCCGATGTGAAAACAACGTAGCTTCGTTCTTGTATATGTGTAAATTATGCTTTAATACAGAAACGGCATATATAAATTCTGATGTGAAGTGCTTTTTTATGAGCAAGTGGGAGATCTAAAATGTTTTCGAACAAATTGAGTGCAACTAAAATTTCGGCTTCAAGCTTGCGGTGGATCGAATTTAGTGAAACCTGCACGTGCCATTTTGTAGAGCTTACTTTGCTTTATCGAATGGTAGTCTTAACCCCTGTTGTAAATATAAAGTTTATGACTCATGCCATATAGTCAGAGTGTAACATTGTCGTCCTCACCCACTAGTCGCTAGGTGGGCAAATTCGAATTTGATTTTGAGCACGCCGGTTGCGGTAGAGCGCGACACTTTCCGCCCGCAATCCAAGCCTACGCATGCTTTTTTGCTTATGCGTATTATTTTTTCTGTTTCAAGGTTTTTCATGATTTCAACTGCGACCATAGGTGCGATAGTGTGAGCAAAAACTCACTTCCCCCTTTTCGCTTTGGAGCTTGGGCCATACCCCTCCCTTTCTCAAATGGCAGAAATTTTTTTTTTGAGATGAGGAAATAGTGCACGCGATAATTATAAGGTGAAAAGATACATTTTCATGAGGTGCGAACTTGGAATGTCGTAAATATGCTTTTGACGGTAAACAATGGACACTGGCGGATATTCAAGGGCTTGGGGGCGCTGATGGACAGTTTTGCATGGAGCTTACATACTGGACAAAGTTAATAAGACATTTTGTGATGATTATGAAATTATTGTCACAAATTTGTATGTGGATATGGAGTCAGGGCCCAGCAGAAGGTGGCATTCAAGAATTTTAAAAACGAAATCCACTTTGACATTGCAGAAGATAAAATATCTTTTGTGGTGTTTGTAGAAGTACGGCGAATAACTTCAAACGATGTGCGAATGGAAATTAGGAATAGACGAGGAAAATTAGAGATAAGACAGCAACACGTGAAAAAAGGCGGTTTTGTATCATTCAAGGGCCCTAGCAAAGCAGAATAGACAGAATTTTGGTCAAAATAGTATTCGTAGGTAGAGTTCGAACTGAGGAATAGACTTATGTGAAAAATTTCGAGAAAATTATGTAGAGAAGGGAGAAAATTATGACTTTGTTCAGTTTCGCGCAATCTCAGGGTGCTTTCAGGTTGCGTGGGAGCAACTTAAATCAGAAAAACACATCCTTTCATTCACATAATTTTTTCTTACTTTCCTTTTGATCGTAGCCGCGGAGATGCACGCCAAATTTAGCGGCTCTTATTGCTTACCGGTTGTAAACGGACTGATTATTCATTGTGCATAAAAATGGTGTTTCAACACGCTAAAATGTGTGCACACGGGTCTAATTGTCATGTTTGTAACGTGTTAATCTACATGTCACACGTGGAAAGACGGTCGGAGTTGGATTAGGGGCTTAAAGGGTTACCTCTGCCAACATTTTATCAGATTTCCGAGAACCGCTTTTGGGAACATTACAAGATCCCTTTTGCTTTCCTTTCAAGAAAACGACTATGAAAACGTCACCTCTGCTGAGCCCTGTGTGGAGTACAATAAAAGTATTTTTTGCTCAACTATGTTCAATTGTATTAGAATAAACATACAGAGTGTAGCGCATTAAGAATAGTACAAATGATGTTAGGAGAAAAGGAAGGTCAGGAATTAGTATAATAAAAGTAACTTCACCAACAGCACTCACTCTGCGAGAAGCTAATAAGAAATTCTTTCTCTATGATATGCAAAGAAAGTAGATCCTAAAAGGAATTTTTCGTAGGGATAAGGAGCTGCTAATAGAGCAGAAATTACGACTACAAAAGTTGATTTTTTGATAATAACTTCTGTGTAAGTGTGTGAAATTGGGAGGGAAGGGTATAGGGAAACTCTACTCATCGAGAGCTCTCGAATGATATGTAGTTTGTGGAGGCCTTATGTTTTCTACACCCTGCGAGGGAGGATGAGCCGGCTTAGAATGCATTAAAGGCACCGTCCACCCAGATTTTCGACTTCTACGTCTTTTCCTTTAGACCTCTCATATCCCTGATTTCGAACATGAAGTCGAGAATGCGCGAAAACCCCGATAATCCCCGTTCCAGAGAACGCACTGGCCGGCTTTCCGTAACGGTGATTGGATGGGCGCGCACAAATGGGCGGGCATGGATGGGGAGGGGCGGGCATGGATGGGGGTCCTCGTGCATCTTCGCTATTCCGAAATGATTTTCTCGCTTTCGAAGCGATATTTTGCGCCGCGACTTGGGCATTGGATTGATAGAAAACCTACTATTATATGCTGCCGAAAGCTCAACACCCTCAATTTAGGGTGGACGATGCCTTTAAGGTGGCGGGGGAAAAGCGCGCGTAACTGAGCCGGCTCACCCCCTCTTCTAGCAGCCAGGAGGCATCAGACCCCTACAATATATGTTGATCGACAGCTCTTGAGGATACGAATTCATCTACACCCTTCCCGATGTATTTCACTTACAGGAAAGTTATGTTGAAAAATTTGATTTGATAGGTTTTTTGCAGCTTCGTATCTCGGCGATGGGGGCATTTATGCTTAAGTTTTTTTGCACCTTACAGCGGCAGGTTCACTGAGTCTTACATATACCCTCGCAGAAAGATCGGATGTAGTGAAGGAGAATTACAGTAAGGGAAAGGAGACGCTTGGAAAACACACGTAAACTATGAATTCAAGTTAGTCGGTTGCGTGGGATCTCTTTGCGAGTGTATAGATAATACTAAGTGAACCCTTCATTATAAGATGCAAAAAAATTAAACCATAAAATGCCTCCATATTCAAAATATGGGGCTCTTTACGTGGCGAGCGGAAGGTAGACCTCTGAAAACTACATTACCTCGCAAAAATATTAGACCTCACAAATTATGTTTTATTCTATAACTTTTGAAGAACAGATAATCTAGATCAGAATTTGTTTTAGCCCATTGAAAAGCAAGAGCTATTATTGGAGAGTGATCTGTTGCAAGTTACTCAATTTATACTAATTAAAACCTGACCCTAAATATTGTCAACATCGTAAATTTAACTTTACCGCCCTAAGAATTTCTCCCATCATTTATACTACATATTCTTATCACTGTGCAAAATCTATATGTTTATTCTGCTCCAAGTAGACACAATTAAGCAACAATTCTTTCATTCAACCCCATAGATACGACATCAGAAATTATTTGCATCAATAATTTCGTAAACATCGTGAAGTCTCTTATTAACATTACCCACATATGTAAGTTTCAAGTAAAGCTTCTTTCAGCATCTTTCAAGCCTCTGAGCATTTGCAGTGTTTATTGCGCATGTAATTTTTGTCGGAATTATATTTACAGCGGTTGCACGGTTGCACGGTCGACCCACCTAACAAAAGAATGGTCAGAAGCGAAGTGGCCAAAACCAAACAATCTGTATATCATTCGATGCAGTATAAAACCCTGACTTCGAATCTGTCTTCCTTGTCTGCTTAACGCTTTTGTGGACGAAGCTACAAGCGGTTTTATTATGAAAAAGTAATACATAAAAACAGCGAAATTGAACACATTGTTGCACTTTCAGCTCAGCATCTGGTTTCAAAAATTTAGAGCAAGCTAGTTACATGTTTTGGCCCGGCATTGAGGCGAACGTGGCCCTGTACGGCTAAATTTTCAATTTCATGCATAGTTTTTCAGCAAAATAATGGTCTTTATTGGCTTATAGCTTCGTCTAGAAAAGCGATAAGCAGGTAAGGAAGACAGATTTAGAGTAAGCGTTTCATGCTGCATCTAATGGTATGCAGCTTGTCTGGTTAGGCCACTTCGATTTCGGATCATTCCCTTGTAAGCATGTATTTTTTCACCGTAAAATGTTATGTAAAGATAATATAATAATATTTATTTTAATTGAAACAAAGTACCTGTAAACATTTCACTAATTATATAAAAAATTGATACAAATCCAACTTAGAGAATTTGATTATTCAAAATTGGATAATTTTTTGATTTTTAACATTTTTATAAACTCCTCCTTCCCTTGGTCGACGTTGGGATTTTTTAGACACCCTTCACTTTTGAGGTTCAAAATCAGCCGAGAAATGTTCCATACTGCTGTGCTCGTTTCTTCGACTCTAATCTCAGATGAATAGTCTTGAAGAAACGAAAAATGATGAAAATCTTTGCTCGTAAGTCCTCTTTGGGAAACAACATGCGCTAAAGAGTTGCTTTAGTGACGTTAATGTCGCAAGAATAAATTTCTCCAGATTTTACAGGTTGGGGACCCGCAAAAATTTTGAGAAGCACTCCAAAAATTTAGTCGCAGATTCCCCATCTGCAGCATTCCTCTAAGCTTACCTGAAACCCAGTCAAAGATATGACCTCAGCAGTGGCGGACTAAGGGGGGGAGCGCCCCCCCCCCCAGAATCGGGCGCGAAATTTTTGAAAATTATATGGGTTACAAATTGCGCAAATGACTTGTTATTCTTGTAAACAATTAAGATGATTTTTAAAAATTTTTGAAAATTCAAATTAGCCTTATAAAAAATTTTTCTCGGCGCCACGCCCCCTTTTCCAGATTTTACGGGTTGGGGACCCGCAAAAATTTTGAGAAGCACCCCAAAAAATTTTTTGGAGTGCGTGGCTAACGCCAGCACCATTGAAAATTTTTGTTTGCCCCCCCCCCGTTCCGAAATCCTGGGACCGCCTGGAGCACAGCTATGTGAAACATCGCTTAACAACAACGAAGTTGCCCATTCTACTAACAGACATAGTTAAAACACAGAATTAGCATGCAGCAACAGATAGATAGGAAGAAAACATGCGTAAACTTCAAGTGCGGGCTGAAGGTGTCGCGCTCTACTGCAACCGGCGTGCTCAAATTCAAATTCGAATTCGCTCACCTATCGACCAGTGAGGTGAAAACCACTACATAAATTATGAGCGAGCAATATATGCGTAGAAGTGGCCGCGCAGATACTGCTTGCTATCCGCCCGCAATTTGCGTAAGCGTTCCAAAAAAATTCTAACAAGGGAATGGTCAGAAGCCGAAGTGGCCAATCCAAACAATCTGCATACCGTTCGATGCAGCATAGGACGATGCTTTCAATTTTGCTTCCAGATGTGCAGAGCGCCTTTGTGAGCAAAGTGACGAGCAGCTGTACTGCGAAAAAACTAGGCATATTATTGCTCTTTTACCTCACCTCTAGATACGGGCCTCATGAGGTGAACTATTTGCATGTTTTGGTTCAACTCTGAACCGGCAATGGCTTTGTACGACCAAGATTGTCCTTTACACGCACAATTAATGGCATTTGGCTTATAATATCGTCCACAAAAACGCTTTGCAGATAAGGAAAACAGATTTAGAGTCAGTGTTTTATGCTTCATCTTTTACGCCCTATCCATCCACAGTTTACCACAGTTCTAAAGTGGACTAATAGATTTTCGATTTTTCATGCAAAATATCGCGGTTTTTCGAGTTTTTGCCTCTTCTAATTGAAGAGAAAACTTCCAAATGCTCGATAGATTATTCGATAGAGTTTGAAAAGTTTTTTCAAATGGAATGTTCATTTGCATCATGACTTCACGGAGCACCACAAGAAAGAGGTATTCAAAAAAACCCCTGCGAGTTGTACGAGTACGTTCCAACCCGTTCCGGTAAATTTAGTGTTAGAATTTGTGAAAGAGCATGTTCGCGCTGGTTGAACTACGCCAATTTGAAAATGTTCTTTCATAAGCTCCTAATAGTGATATACCAAAACGAGTTATAACCAGGGTCAAGCGTTTGGTGTGACACGCCACACTTGGGGAGGGGGTTGTATTGAGGAGTCAAAAGGGGAGGGGGTCCTAGTTGGGTAATCTAGTAGTGATAACATGATATTCGTATCATATCCATAATCAGCATGTCAATTAGTTCCTGTAAACAAAGTTTGAGCGAATTCTGAAAATTCAAGATACTATGCTACCTAAGTGAAATGTTCCAACATTCATATTCCAACATGGTTAACTTTGTTTCAAAGGTGAATTAGCCATACGTTTTTGCACTAAAGACAAAGCACTACTCCTTCTTTGTCCATCTCACAAATCCCGCTTCAAAAGACCTCCAAACTGTGGAATTAGAAGCCAACCAAAATCTCATTTTCCCATTTCTCGCTTTTAATGGCCGTGCTTTCACCAAATATTACTCGGAGCTAAGAAGACGAATCAGGCTTAAAACATACCTATGAAATCTACGAGATTTGGGCTATCGACTCATAGAAATACTGTTCGCTAGAAATTTTTTTGATATAATTAATTGAGTGTGTCACACCCCCTCTAAGCTGTGGCAGCCAGCTCGTGCGCCACACCCCTTGCTTGATCCTGGTTATAACGCACTCTCAAACTGGTTAAAGGACATACGCAAAGCGTGCTTGTTTTTTTCGGGGAAGTAAAAGTTAATTTTTATTGATTTCAAGTAATCTGTTAATTTCAAGTAGTAGCTGCAAATCCATCTACCAATCCTTCCTCCATACATTTCCTAACTCAATCAATACAAGTTTGCCTATTTCTGTTTTGGAGCTACCGAAGTCTAATCCGTGCGTGGATAATCAGCTCCATGCCTTCCATTTCGATTTTCCTATCCCGCTTTACTTTTTGGTTCAAAAGTCAGTTGAGCAGTGTTTTATCATGATAAACTACGTCATATTCATGCTTCGTTCAAGCCAAAAGTGTGTCAACAGTTCGACAGAGATGAAGCGCATACTGAGGAATGTACGGAGGATCAGAAAGTTGTTGCGATAAAGACCGCTCTCTCCCAGGAAGATGACAAAAAGTTCGAAGAAACCACGATGTCAAATCTTCACTCAGCAAACACTTTTACAGCATGTCTTTTCTCAACAGAGCGGTTCGGAAATTTTCGAAGCTCCAAGAAAATAATTTTGGCGTTAACACGATAGATCACAATGTTTCTCTACATAATCAGGTAATGCTAACGATTTTATCAATGTCTTTTGACTTTTACCACAAGAGTTTTCGTAAGGATTTAATAAGTCTTACATAACGCTATGGGTTTAGATATTTGCATCACTCAATGAACAGAGGAGCAGCGGAATGCTATGTGACCTTGTGCTTGTGACTGACGACAACAGAACTATTAACGCGCATAAGGTTTATTTATATGTCAGTATGTGATGCAATTCGGATCTTCTAGGCTGTCTTAGCTGCGGCTAGTCCTTTTTTCCACGCAATGTTCGCTGTCGACATGGTTGAATCGAAAAACAACAAGATCACCATGCATGGTTTTTCCTTCGCCAAAATGTTGTTGTGGTGTTACAAAACAAATTTTTAGGCATTGATTTTACTACACTGGAAGAGATAATTCATTATATCTATTCTGGCCTTATACAAGTGGATGCTGAAAATTTGATCCCAACGATGTTTGCCGCTAACTTTTTCCAGGTATACCACCAACATTTCGGGAAAAATGCAAAAGCTCAACGCTCATGCAAGTAAGAGCTACGCATAGTAGACTGGTAATTTGGCAAAAGGCCAAGTTGCATAGTTTCAGCGATGTGACAGAATCGCTAGGGGATGCCTTGGCTTTTATGAGAATAGAGTACTTAAGCACTAGTGCAGAAAACAGCAATTTCAATGAAAGCAGCAAAGATCCGGTTGTCATAATTGTTTAATCCAACTAATAGAATCAATTCCTTAAAAGCAGCGCCCGGGCAAAATCTCGAACAAAACTTTTTTCGCTTACCTGGCCTCTTCCCGTTGATTCCGAAAATACAGCTTGCAGAGAACGAAGATATCGAAAAAGGGCTTTTCCAGAAGCAGTTGATTTTGAATAATGACGCTTGCCGCTGAGGTAAACACGTTTCGGACCGGCGCTGCACATGGTGCAGCACCCTGCTTTGAGGGATCTTTTTGACATTTACAGGAGCTTTTTTAGCCCAAGGTTATCATGTCAAAGGCCTAAGCTTCTACTTTTCAAATGACTCTGTGGAGTTGTGCCGACGATATTCGTTTAGGAGATATGAACACAAATTGAACAACAGTTGCAACGAAGTGCGGCAACGCGAACGACGCGTGCGACGTCGCAACTTTCCTCTGCTTCGATATCAAAGAGAAAAACCGTAGTTTCAAATGTGTACCCTCTACAACATAGATACTTTTGGATACTATAAGAAACCGAGTTCTTGTTCCTATCTCTCAGGAAAGCACAGAACTATTTCACAAGCGACAAAATTCAAACACTTCGAATCCATTCAGAACTTCAAATATGGAACTTATTTGACAAGCTGATTGCAGATGTAGCCCACAGATTGCGAAATAAAGTCTCTTTCCAGGTTAGCTGCTGAAAGTGCACTCTTTTTCGCCGCGCGCGATTTCGCGGCCCGAAACGTGTCAAGACGCAGAGTCGCGTGCTCGATGTACGTACTCTGGCTATCGATTGAAGGGGCGGGCACATCGCCGGGGCGGTCCTGTCGCCACTTCAGAAGCGGTTTTCTCGCTTCAGAAGCAAAGTGGTGCAATGCCACTTGGGCAAGAGCTTCACCAGGCCGAAACCCCTGTACGCTACAGTTTCGTTTTTTGCTCGGACGCTGCCTTTAACATTCTTGAGGACCATGGTAGTTGTGAGGGCGTGGTACTATACGGTCCGTTTGGAAGTTGTTTGATGAGTCTATACAAAAGTCGTATTTCATTGTGGCGGTACTCATAAGATGTTGAACATCCGCTTACAGTAAGTTTCGAACCGCCCTAGGCGGGAATCGGGCGGATCCGCGGTCGTTTCGTAGCTATAGTATAACATACCGTGCTGCGAACTCATGTCTACATCTCTTCATTCTTAGTCTTTGCTTGGCAAAATGCCAGCGCTATGCGCTCGCGAAGCCTCCAGCAATGTGCACGCGCGGCTCCATGTAGAATCTTTCGTCCAATCCGATGTGGAACCCACTGTACAGTAGTCATTATTGGTCATGCTATGAGGATTCTATATAGAATCTTCATAGCATAATAATATATATTTTCGGCGCTTGTACATTGGGTGACTATATTTCCCCGAAAGGGGGTGGTTCCGCGCGGGCATCTGCGGCAGAGCACGCAGTTCCACATATTAAAGGCATACAAGATTAGTATTAGCTACCAATGCGGGAGCCTATTGGCATAGCCCCTGTACATTTAACTACCGCGTTTCCTCATAACAGTGGTGCAAGCAACTTAAAGGTGAATTTTGAGTCTGCATAAGGTTTTTATGAGCCACTAGCTGGCAAACTCGGCTCCGCCCGGCCCTGTCATTATTGTATTCGTAATCAGCATGCTCGATTACCCCCCCCCCCCCCCCTGTGCCAACTCCCAGCCCCGTAGCTCAAATTTTGCAAAAAATCGATAAAATCGACATCGATCGATAACGAAAAGTAGCCTATGACACGCTCCCTGCCCCGAAGTGTATGTGTGCCAAGTTTGGTCCAAATCGGTTCAGAAATAATAATTTATTTATTTATTTATTTATTTGAATACGCCACAGGCGCGCCATAGTGTCAGGTTAGTAACCAACAGATTCTTGAGAACAAAAATCAGTGTTAGAAATACACAAACTCAGAGACAAGAAAGGCTTAATGCAGAAAAATAAAATAGCTAAAATAATTTCTATTCCGCACATACGTACAGACAGACAGACAGACAGACACACATTCAGCTTTATAGATAAGACTAGATGGCAAACCCGGCTCCGCCCGGGACCAAACTTTGTACACATACACTTCAACCCCTCCGGGGTGATCAGCATGCTCGATTACCCCCCTGTGCAAAATCCCAGCCCCCTAGCTCAAATTTTGCAAAAAATCGATAAAATCGATATCGATCGATAACGAAAAGTAGCCTATGACACGCTCCCTGCCCCGAAGTATATGTGTGCCAAGTTTGGTCCAAATCGGTTCAGAAATAAAAATTTCTATTCCGCACATACGTACAGACAGACAGACAGACATACAGACAGACAGACATTCATAAGATAATAAGATATAAGATAATGTACCTAGGAGAGATGAAAAGAACAAATTACCGATGCTGCAAGGGCTCAACACGAGGGTGGCAACGGACATCGGTGAAAGGACTTCGCTTTTACTCCTAACGATTCATAGCCCTTGCTATGAATCGTTAGGAGTAAAAGCGACCCATCCATATCATTCCCGCTCTGAAGCAGGTTGCAAGCTTACTCAGTCCTGCAGTAAACTTCATCCCGACGTATTGTGAGCTCCCAGCTTACACTTGCCTCATAGTGGTGCAGTTTTGGTGGATCGGCCAAGCAGTTATGTACCGATGGTTTGTAGGCTTTGCAGTAGCCTGGGGCGAGATAGCGCCTCTTGAAGGCAGCGTCCACGAAAAATTTCGCTGTCCAGTTTTCCACCTATTGGGAGCCTTCTTGCCTTGAAGAACCCATGTCTGGGCTTTTCGGCGCCTGAATATGGCGGAAATGAGGCTTTTTCGAAGCTTTCCAACTCCGCATTCAGTGAACTACGCCGGGAATCTTCCACACCCCTCCTCCCTTTCCAGGATATATTACTTACACCTATTTTGCACCAAATGCAGACCTGAAAAGCTTTGGAGAAAGCTCATTTTCGCCATTTTCGTGCGCTGGAAAGCCCAGATATGGATTTCCCATAGCAAGAAGGCTCCGAATAGGTGGAAAAGTGGACATCAAAATTTTGCCGGGAAACGTCCTTCAAGGTGTGCTAGTAGAATACAAAGCAGTTAGGCTTTATTGAGACAGACCACCTGCACGCGTTGGTGCTGTGTTAGAATGCTAAGGATAATGGCATGGCGATTCAAGACAGTAAGCATCTGAGCGCCAAACATACTATTAGGTTGTCCCAAAATTAAATCGTTTCTAAATAATTCAAACTATTTTTGTTTTCTGGCAGACTTGGAGTACCATTCGATAGAGCGAAGCAAGCTCTGCAAAATGAACCACCAAGAATCCGCCTATGTCGCTTTCAATGTAAAGTTTGAAGTCAAAATTGGAAAAAGATTCATTGCCTGAGAATTGGATTTTTGCGAAGAATATTCGTACGAAACTCACACTTGGTCACTATGCAGTGGACACATAGTAGTACTCAAAAATGCTTTACTGGATTTTTTCCGAGCTTAGAAAGCGAGAAAAAAGAGATAGTCTGAAAATGGCAAACTCCGCCCCAGCCCCTCCCTTATATGTCGTTGTATACTACAAGCCTTACAAAGTATAACCTCAAAACTTTACCCCTGTATTTGCTATTATAGTTGAGAGATACCAAGTTTTACATGAAAAACCCGAATAAACTGGCATTTTGGCATTTTGGGACCTCCCCTGTTTTCAATTTTGAACTCCGGAAGAAACCAAGCAAAAACATTTTTTGATACTACTATGTGTCTACTATATAAGGACCAGTTGGAAGTCCGTAGGAATTTTCTGAAAGGAGATCCGATTTTTAAAGTAGCTAAAAACTGGATAGCGACTTAGACGGTTCTTTGGTGGTCATTTTGTAGAGCTTGCTTCGCTATATCGAATGGTGCCCCAAGTCTGCCAGCAAAACAAGAACAGTTTGATTTATCAAAAATACGGTTACTTTTGGAACAACCTAATGATATCAGAGCAGGTCATGCTTATGGCATGAGCGTTACAACAATCTGGTAAGACAATGAAAGGTGGTAAGGAAGTGCCGACAATGTCAGAACACTCTTCCGGCTAGGAGAGAGATGATAACAAGAAAATAAAGCAAGAGGATGAAACTTTGATAAACCAAGAAACTTTTTTGTTGGGATATTGCATTGATCATTGCAGTAGTGGCGCATGAATGATATTAGGTTGATGCATACCTGCACCAAAATAGGTACTGATCGCAATTCCGGAACAAAGTGTGTCCCAAATAGGATTCGGTATATCATTAGATAGAGCAAACCAGGCTCTACAAGACAGTGCTTAAATATCTGCACTAGCTTTGATCCACGCGAAGTTTTGAGCCCAAAACTGAAAAAAAACCATGCGTTCAAATACCTTAAAGGCACCGTCCACCCAAAATCTTGAATTCGATGTTTTTGTCGCCTTCAGGCCTTCTGAAAGCCCTGATTTTGAATATGGAGTCGAAAATCCGCGAAACCCCCCCAAAATCCCTGTTTCGAGAACCCTCTGCAACAAGCGCAGGCGAGATAAAGCATGCAAGTGGGCGGCGCGACCATGGTCGCCCCGCCTACTTTGCTACTTCCGGAGCGGATTTCTCGCTCCAGAAGCAGTCTTTTGCGGCGAAGCTTGGGGGTTTGCCTAGTGTGTGGGTTCACACTAATATGCCATCATAATCTCGCCAACCTCCGTTTTGGGTGGACGGTGCCTTTAAGACCAATAAAAACAAAATTGTAACTTTGTTCAAAAAGCTCCTACAAAATTTCTTTCTTGCTCACGCGTAGACATTCCATGTAAGATATTTATCTATGTGGTTGTTATTTTTTTCTCGGCTGGACGATGAGAAAACGACGTTTTTCATGTTTTTGCCAAATTAGTGCTGAGATGTTCTAGCACTAATAGTTGTATAGTACATGCCATTAGCAGTGAAACTTTACATTTTCAGCTTTCTAGCACTGTTGGTTCACGAGAAATGACGAATCTAGCTCTCTTTATCCAGAAATTTTTTTTGCCTAGCTGTTAAAAATGCGATATTTCTAGTAAACCAGCTGCTGTAAAGAGCTCAAAATCCACAATCACGCTTCTAAGGTCCTATAGTATACAACTGTCAGTGGCAGAACATCTCAGCATTGTTTTGGAAAAAACATGAAAAACTTCGTTTTCTCATAGTCTACTGTGATAAAAATACAGCAACCGCATAGATAAATGTCTTACGTGGAGTGTCTACGCGTGAGCAAGAAAAAATTTTGTAAGAGCTTTTTGAACGAAGTAACAGTTTTGTTTTGATTGGTCTTAAGGTTTTCGGATGCATGGTTTTCTTCAGTTTTCGGCTCAAAACTTTGGGTGGATTAAAGATGGTCCGATATTTGAGCACTATCTTGTAGAGATAGGTTTACCCTATCTAGCGTTATAGCGAATCCTATTTGGGATTATTGCGGACTAGCTTGCTTACCCGGCTCCGCCCGGCCCTGTGAAAACACTGTGATAAAGGTCCCATCCCTATCCCTGTACAGCCTTTCCCTGTGCCCACTTCTACACTTCATTTCCCGTTCCCTGTGTTGTTTTCGTAATCAGCATGCTCGATTACCTCCCTGTGCAAACTCCCAGCCCCGTAGCTTAAACTTTGCAAAAAATCGATAAAATTGATAAAAGTAGTCGATAATCCTGAAAACTAATATTGTATTTGGAATCCCCATGCTCGATTACCCCCCTGTGCAAACTCCCAGCCCCGTAGCTCAAACTTTGCAAAAAATCGATAAAATCGATAAAAGCAATCGATAATCCTGAAAACTATTATTGTATTCGGGATCCCCATGCTCGATTACCCCCCTGTGCAAACTACCAGCCCTGTAGCTCAAACTTTGCAAAAAATCGATAAAGTCGATAAAAGTAATGGACGATTTTGAAAACTAATATTGTATTCGTAATCAGCATGCTCGATTACCCCCCTGTGCAAACTTCCAGCCCCGTAGGTGAACTCATCAAAAAAATCGATAAAAATCGATAAAATCGATATCGATCGATACGAAAAGTAGCCTATGACACCCGCCGGGGCCCGAAGTATATGTGTGCCAAGTTTGGTCCGGATCGGTTCAGAAATGGAATTTTCTATTCGGAACATACGTACAGACATACATACAGACATACAAACAGACATTCAGCTTTATATATTATAAGTAAGTGTTGGGCCCTCACTTGCCGGAACAGAACACAGTAAAGTATAATTATTTATTAGGTAAATAAGCGAATAGTGGAAGATCAGATTTATTGACGAGAAAGGTGTGAATCAGTACGATGAGCAGCAGAGGTCGACGTCGGGTGGTGAGCGTACCGCTCCAGATGGTGGCGACCCCTCCTTTAGTTCCCATATATCCCTCTTTTATATCGGTCGGCGTCCGTTATTAGATCGTTCTCAGCTAAGCTGATTGAAGCATTCTGTCAATATCTGCACATCCCAGCGTGGGAAACTGATCCCTCTTACAATTAGGTTGATTCATAATTAATGCACGTTTTTCTCACCTCTTTTTCTAGGAGCTGATATATGATTGTAATCAAATACCTCAAAAACTTTTTATGATATCTGAAAGAGCGTTTTTTCTTAATTATTTGAGCCTTCGCTTCCGTACGGGTGGGGGAACGAAAGCCGCCAGGTCCAGCCGCCTCCGCGGAGTGCTGGTCCTGGAACGACATGCAACAACGCTGCGAAAGGACCAGCTGGCCGCGAAAGGCGCCTGGACATGGCGGCTTTCGTTCCCCCACCCCTTCCGTACATCTCCGTTCATTCCAAAGTTGTAAGCCTTCAAATAAAAGAGAGTGAATCCCGAAATTCTTGCTTTTCACCCTTTTTGCCCTAAATCCATGAAAAATAGCCGGATTGATTTCAAAAAATATGCATAAGGATTAAAAAGCTTTATGCTAAAAGAAGTTATTTGCACAAAATTCTCCATGAATTCTGAACCGAGAAATTAAATTGCAAACTTAGATGATCGTCGCGGCCCTTCCGTGCCATACAAAACTTTGAAGCAAAAGGCGATTGCAGGTCTTTTGCACTATTCAGCAAGGGTAGACCTAGTTTATTTGTTGGCAGAAAAGCGCTAGGATTTTCTCACTTTCAAGCGGAATAAGTGAAATATTTTCAAATATGACCAATTTTTAAGCCCGCCGAAATGCCAGAAGAAAGTGAGTAGTTTCGACTTTTCCGCGATATTTTCTTTCAAGTATTTTCCGTGAAATCCAAGTTTGGCATCACTGCTCAGGAGACCCTTGGCTACACTATGAGCGAAATCTGGTTTATTCTATTTCATTTCAACATAAGTTATGCTTTCTCAAATTAGAGGCTTCCGAAAAAAATTGTTAGCAATCTTCAAGCCAGAACATTTTTCCTGTGACAGATACAGTCACTCAAAAGTATCTGTTGTATAGCCACTGATTTGGTGGTTACAGTAGTTTTTATTGCGCTCAGAAATGTCTTTCCAAAAAAGAAATATCTTGGTTGAAAAATAAAGTATAGAAAACGTGCATTAATTATGAATCAACCTAATATAAGATTATTGCGGTCTGTACCTATTTTGGTGCAGGAATTATGCATCAACCTAATACATTGCTTCTAGCATGATTGCTTGGTAGCGGGATGGCAGGGAGAAGTAGAAATAACGCGGGCTATCTCCTCCCTTTTGTGGAAGTGGGACTCTTGAATAACTATACGCTTCCAGTGTAGAAGAATGGGGATCATTATCTGCTCTCGCCTTCATTCTTAGACATGCAGTGGCTGTCATTCTCATTGCTTTCGTCAGCATTATGTCATTTGATCTAGTCGAGATTTTGCAATCCCCTTCCCAAAAATTGCCACCTCTACTCAGCCAGACCCTTATTCTCTCAAGCTTTTCCATCTACAGTCAAAAGCAGGATTGTCTGAAGTAACCCCCTCCAAAAGCAAATTTTTTATCAAGTTCTACGAAAGTATGTGAAAAATTTTTTTTCTAAAATAATGCACTATCTTGAAAAGCGTCAAAATGGCCGACCGGCAAGACCCAATCACTCATTCGATGCTTTTTGTACAAGGAAAGAGAGTAAAATAGGACAAATGCTTCCAAAAACAGTTTTTTTGTCAAGTTCTGCAGAAATTACCTGCGAAAAATTTCTTCAAAGGATTCTTGTTCAGGAAACGTCAAGCAATCTTTATCTGCGAAGCTCAGCTAATAAACGCTTTCTTTCCACAAGAAAGCAAGATTTCAACAGATTGCGTAAAAACAGCTGACAAGGAAATGAGTCGAAGTGGCCGACCCAAACAAACTGTATACACTAGATGCAGCATGAAAAGCTGAATCTGTCTTCTTTATCCAATGAACACTTTTTGGAGCTGTTAGCCATTGAAGGCCATTATTTTGCTAAGAATTCATTACAGAACCATAGTCGGTTTACTGTGTCAAAACATGCAGCTAGGTTACCTCATATGGCCCATACCTAAAGGTGCGCTGAAAAGGCAATAACGTGCTCGATTTCGCAATTTTAACGTACAATTTTTCTTAATAAATCTGCTCATAACTTCTCTTGCAAAGTCGTTCAGCAAGTACGGAAGACAGTTCTGAAGTCAGCGTTTTATGTTGCATTTAATGGTGTGCAGCTTGTTTGAAATGGACACTTCGAATTCTGACTATTTTGTCGTGACCGCAATAGAGGAGGCAAATAGCTGGAATATCAAACCTCAGACAGGACCTCTATTACATTTTGGAGTTATGGTTCGGTATCCATATGCACTTGATCGCATGACTCGTGCAAAAAAACGTCGTCGTGAAACAGTGCAAACATGTTTCTCCTCGTCGTCTGTGCTCAGATTACGAATGGACTAGGTAGTATAAATCAAACATTTGTCTCTTGCTAAAATCTCGGCATGCCTGCAGTGTTTTGTCTCTTCCCTTCCACTGCCGTGTGCAAAGGGTTGTTACTGTTTGGAAAGGTCGAAAGTTTCAGGTATTTTGTACGACAAAAATTGCTTATTGCCCCAAAAACGATACCCAGCTTGCTTATAAGCCACATGTGTCGAGCCCTGCCTGGGGCTGTTAAGCTAAGAGCGGAGCTCACTAATTTCCAATCGTCATACTTTTCTCGACTTTGAAGGCAGTATCCCGGCAGATTCGCGCCCTGGAGGATAGGAGATATGGCTGTGGTAGGGTTCTGGTCATCCCAATAACCTCCAGGCTAAGTCCGAGCTGATGTTCCCCCTGCGCTGAGAAAATAGCCCTTGACCGGACCTCAAAAACGGTCTTTCACCCCGTTTCAAGCTCAAATTCGGGTTCTACGGGTTAAAAGGGCCTAGAATATGCAAAAAAGTGGAAATGCAAAATCTGCCGGGACACTGATCTGAGCCATAAAAGTATAAGAGCGTTCACAGCGTTCAAACGAGCGTTATTAAATGCCGACCGAATGCAAGTTTGGTTGATCTCGTTAAGGGTTCGCGGCTCCGATCCAATTTTGAGTCCATTAATTTTTTTCCTGGTTTAGAACGCAACTAATGATTCTCGCGGATCTCAAATGCTCATCTTATAGAGCATGTTTTGCGCTCTAGAATTATGACGGTCACGTACATCTAGTTTGAAAGACATGCTTAAAATGATGATAATCTTGTATAACATCTGAAGATCCAGAATGTATTGCATCTAATTTGCCTTTTAGCTCAACGATTTGACTGAAAGTTGTGCTGAATTGTTGAAGAATCATCTCAGCCCAACAAACACGCTCTATGCTCGAGCAGTGTGTTCGGCGTTGAACTGCCGGTGCGCGATTTCACTTGTTTCCGTTTGTGAATAGGCCAGTAATTATAGATTGGTAGTGGAGGAGATAGAAGAGTCTATTGATGTGGATTTTCTATCGATTTGTGACAGTGACGCTTTCTTGGAGCTGACCATCGAGGATTTGGTCGTATTATTGTCCAGAGATACTTTGAATATTGACAAAGAAGATTCCGTGTGTAAGGCGGCCTTACGATGGGTTGATTATGATCCGCAAACCAGAAAGGAATATGTACCCAGGTATTACTTTTCGCTAGGAATGTGTAGCATTATTTTTTGTATTTACAATCATAAATGCGAAAGACAAAATTTTGTGTCATTCAACTCATTCTCATACTCCTCGAAAATAAGAAAAATTTTGTGTCATTCAACTCATTCTCATACTCCTCGAAAATAAGACAGAAAACTCATACTCTGATTTCTACAAGAAACAGAGAGAACAGATACTTATTTGCGTGAGAAGGGGGGGGGAGAGGAGACGGCTATGGTCCAAAAGTCATGAAAACTGTGCTCACAAGGGAATGGTCAGAAGTCGAAGTGGCCAAACCAAACAAGCTGCATACCATTTGATGCAGCATAAAATGCTGATTTCAAATCTGTCTTCCATATCTGCAGAACGCCTTTGTAGGCGAAGTTATGAGCAGCTTTACTGCGAAAAAACCGTATACAAAAATTGCAAAATTAGGCGCATTATTGCCCTTTCAGCTCAACTCTAGGTACGGGTCATATGATGTGACCTAGTTGCAAGTTTTGGTCCGACAGTGAGCTAAGAATGGCTTTGTACGGCCAAGTTTGCACTTTACATGCCCAATTTCTTAGCAAAATAATGGCCTTCAACGGCTTATAATTTCGTCCATAAAAGCGCTCTGCAGATAAGGAAGACAGATTTAGAGTCAGCGTTTTATGCTGCATCTAATGGCATGCAGCTTGTATGAATTGGCCACTTCGACTTCTGACCATTCCCTTGTCAGTATTCTTTCGAATTGGCTGAAATCCCTCTAGCTGGGTCTACAAGTAAAGCATGATTTCAATCTTTCATTAGGTTTTTTACACTTCAAAGATTTTCGTTGTCGCTCTGTTCCGAACGCAAAGCGCGAATCAAACCGATGTGCGAATTTTTCAATCTCTTTGGGCGCTCAGTGTCCTTCAACTTTTGTAGTCTATTCATTTTTGTCTCATTCGCAGAGGGTTAGGAACGATGAGGTGGAGGGCTAGGGAAAGAGAGGGAAGAAGGGCTCAGCACGAAGGCTTGGCTTTTTTCTTTGAAAATAGTCCTTTTTGACTTTGCAACGAATACGACATTCTTGAATACACGCTCATGAATGAAAACAATAACAAAGAAAAGTACAAGAGAATACAACGAACCATAAAACTGATAGAAGAAACTAAAGATGTCGTATTTTCCGAATTGGCGTGCTCTATCTGGCTCGCACCATTGTGCGCTTGGAGCAAAATTGCCGCCATTTTTCAAAATTTTTGAAGGGTTGTAATTAGGCGGGAAGGAGGGTTTGGGGAGGTTCAAAAACGCAGGTGTAGGGTTTTTGATATAGATCAAAGTTATGTAAAAAATCTTGTGAAGGGAGAAAAATTCATGACTTTTCTTCTTTGAGCCGCTTCAGGCGGCTCTCCAAGTGGCTCAAAACCCATTTAACTCAAAGAAAGTTTGCCACGCCCTCAGTTCGCATAACCTCTTCGTAAATTTCGTATGTAGTTCCATCTCTAGGCGCATCTCTACACCAATTTTGGTGTCAAATCATTTCCTCTTAGTAGTGACAATCCTTTTTTCATTTCGGGCACCTTTTGAAGGTCACCGGTGACCTTTGGAGAGAGCGGGCTTGACCGTTTCCCAGGGAGGGGAGCCGTAGTTTTTCGTTTTCTGTCTTCGGCTTTTTGCTTTTTTCCGTGTTGGGCCCCTCCCACCCAAACGGGCAAAAAGCCAAGTGGAATTAGAGCGGGCTCGAAAAAGGGTCAAAAGGATTTTGTTGAATTTTTTCGAAATCAAAATGGACTTCGCTCAAAATCTCCTTGGTTCCAGTTGGTGCCGAGACTGAGTTGGATATATGAACACTTTACTTACTTACTTAGATACTTAGATGGCCCTTCCTCACGTGGCGTGCGGGCCCCAGTACAGAAGTTGCCATTTTTCCCTGTCCATCGCTTCAGACATCCACGATCTTCTTAGCCGTCGTCGGTGGTTGCGTCCACGAGTTCCAGGGGCGAAAGTCGTATCCAGCTGATTTCTCAGCTGGTCCATCGTTCCACGAACACGTCTGCCCATCTTGTCGGTGGTCTTCCTCGAGGACGTTTGGCTTCGCGAGGAATCCACTCAGATGTTCTTAGTGTCCATCTGTCGTCTGTTCTTCTCATTATTTGACCGGCCCATCGGTGTTTGGCTTTCGCAACGTATTCCGCTGGGCCACGAAGACGGGACAATCTTCTCATATCCGTGCTGCGAAATCCGACTAGATGTTGCTTGCGTCGGTTCATCCTCAGAAGACTGCGCTCGAGCGCCCTGTGGGTGGTCCGTAAAGCTTTCGACGTGGCTACAGTGTCGGCCCAATTCTCAGCTGCATAACAGAGCGCCGGGAGAACGGTAGAGTCGAACAGGTGGGCACGAAGCTCCGAGTCCGTCAGTTGGTCGGTGGCTTCCTTCAGAGGCCCGAAAGCGGCCTAGGCTGCTCTTCTTCTCCTGTTAAGTTCTTCCCTCAAGTCGTTCTCCATGTTCATCGAACGTCCGAGATACACGTAAGAAGACGTCTCCATAATGGGGGTGCCTTCCAATTTCATTTCTGCATCTTCGCAAAGGGCGTTCCTCATGAACTGAGTCTTCTTCCGATTTATTCGCAGTCCGATCTTCTTCCCTACTTCGTTCAGTTCCTTCAGCATCGTCTCTGCTTCAGTGATACTGCTCGAGAAGAGAACGATGTCGTCCGCAAAACGAAGGTTGGATAGGAATCTCACATCAACTCGTATGCCTCTTTCGTTCCAGTCCAGTGACTTCATCACCCACTGCAAGGCCGCGGTGAACAGCTTCGGCGAGATTGTGTCGCCTTGTCGGACCCCCTTCCCGATTGGTATGGTCAGGGGGCGATGGAATAGCTGCGTCCTTGTTGTACAGTCCTTGTAGCAGTCGGCTAGTGTCCTCACGCAAGCTGGAAACACTCCTTGATCGACTAGCGCAGACAGGATGGCGTTGGTTTCGACGCTGTCAAAGGCTTTCGTAGTCGACAAAGGTTCGGACGAGAGGCAGTCGGTACTCCCTGCAGACTTCTATGACCCTCGAAACGGTCTGGATGTGGTCCATGCAGCTGAATCCTTTGCGAAATCCAGCTTGTTCTTGGGGTTGGGCTTCATCCAGTGTCCTTGATATGCGAGCGAGGATAATCTTCGTGAAAAGCTTGTACAGCACACTCAGCAGGCATATTGGACGATAGTTCCGAAGATCCTCCCGTTCACCCTTCTTGAAGAGAAGGACGGTTCTTGACGTTTTCCACTGGTCGGGAATCTTCTCCTTCTGAAGGTAATCAAATGCGACGCTAGAATCTCGTGTAGACGGTGTCCTCCGGCTCGCAGAAGTTCGACGGAAAGATGATCTGGTCCTGGAGCCGTGAACGTCTTCATGGTCTGTATCGCGATACGCACTTCAGCAGGTAGAATTCGTGGTGGTACTTCTCCAGTGGGAACAACGGGCATCTGCACGGGTGTTGATGAGCGGAAGAGGTTGGTGTAAAAGTTCTTCGCAATAGATTCCATCTTGTATCGGGAAGAAGTCGGAGTCCCGCCTTCGTTCAGTAGTGCAGCCAGCGGTACGTAATGTTCGCAGAGGTCCCTTCTGCATTTCTTGAGACTTCGTCTTCTTTCGGCTGCTTCTAGAATCTTGGCTTGCCTGTACTTCCTGAGATCCTCTTGCAAAGCTGTTCTGCAACTGGCGTTGGCTATCAGTCGCTCGAGATGGGTTGCATTCGGATCCTGCCTCAGAAATTTCTTTCGAGCATTTCCTTGGTGGTCTTCGGAATGCGTTCCACGTTCTTCTCGGAAGTTACTGAGGCGCACTCTCCGCAGACTCGCAATCCTTTCAGAAGCCTGTCGTAGTCATAAGTTGGGTCCTCCTCGATGGGCCAGTCACAACTTGATATGAGCTCTTCCAGCCTGTTACCGTCATAAACGACTTCCTTCCTTCTCGCGGACTATGACATACTTTCTTTTCCACCCTTCGACCGAGTCGCATCTTCGCTCGAAGGAGGCGGTGATCGGAGCCACTACAGAAGGATGGAACTACAGAGACATCGAGTAAGCTCCACCTTCGGTTGGTGAGAATGTGGTCGATCTCAGCACGAGTCGTTCCGTTGGGCGATTCCCAAGTCCACCGGCGATGTTCTTTCTTCATGAAGATGGAGTTTCCATGGAAGAATCGTGCGGCGGAGAGAAGCCCAACGAGACGGTTGCCGTTTTCTTTTCGGAGCCCATATTCAAACTTCCCAATCCTATATTCCTTTTTTAGTGGCATCCCGATTTTCGCATTGATGTCGCCCACAACATACTTGTAGAAGGACTTTTCGTTGCGGACGACCTCCTCCACGTCTTCGTAGAAAGCATTTAGTTCTGAGTCGTCAGCTGCCGATGTTGGCGAGTAGCAGTTGATGATGCTGATGGTCTTCTGACGTGGAGGGCGTAGTCGTAGGATGCCTAGTCGAGGTGATAGGATCTCGTGCGAATCGACAAGATGGACGATAGACGGATGGACGACAAAGCCGACGCCTCCCACGTTTCGTGATGGAACCTTTTCACTACGAAGGATGAGGGTCCCATCACTCATCTGTCGCACGTCCTTCTTCCTGGACCGTTTCCTGCAGTGCGATGATGTGGTAGTTGGTGTGCTCTGCAGCGTCGAGAAGAGCGTGGAAGTCGGCGTTGGTGAAGACTGTCCTGGCGTTGTAGGTGCAGAGCATGAGGCAGTCTCCATGGCGTGTCGTCCGGGCAGACGTGTCGTTGTTGTTCAATCCGATAGGCGCCCTGAGTACCCTGACATCGTTCTTGCTACCACCCGGCGCCGTAGGCGGGATACGATGTGCAGGGTTTCTTTCTAATCTTCTAACAGGAGTAATATGAATTTTCCCCTACAAGAGGTGACTTACTAGGCCTACTCTTGATTTCCACGGGGCGATCGCTGACCCCGGGCTTGGAGCGGGGAGGGACCGCCTAGCGACCAGAAGAAGCCAGACGGCGGGGGATCTGGCGTG